TGGTAAAAGGGTTAATTTTTGAAAATTTTTGGAATGTTTGAGGTTTAACTAGAAGCTATTACTGTAAAGTAGATGTGTGCAAAATTTCATTGGAATCGGTTGAGAACTTTTTGAGTTATCCCGCCCGCAAATTTCAAAAATGTCGTTTTGAGAAAAACGCGTTTAAAGTTTTGACACAGAAACAGATAAGAGTACAATAGCACTCAAGCGTCGAGTTGAGGCGTGGCACTTAAATGAGATTTTATTGTATAAATAATGATAATTTTGTTTTGAATATTTACAGGCATGTTTTTGAGATGTTATTGTAACGATTTATGAAAGAAAAAAAAAATCGATTTTTTTTTCTTGTTACATGTATCGCCCCCCTTATTCTGTATTTTTTATATTTTTTTGAAATTTTTGAAAAAAATTAAAGTTGAAATCCATTCAAGCGAACTTTAGAGGCGTCCATTAATCACGTGATCGATTTTTAAGGAATTTTGACTCCTCCTCTCCCTTGGTGATACGTGGTGATATTCAAAATTACCCTCCTACCCTCACCAAACATCACGTGCATTTTTAGTTACGATAAATTTTTTATTTTTTTTTTTTTTTTTTAAATGTTTGGATTTTTTTTAAGTTTTAGGTAAAAAATAAATATACGTGATATCTTACAATACCCCTCTCTCCCACGTGATATTTCGTAATTTTTTGTCAAAACAACCCCCCCCCCCCCCCCCTTAAATATCATAAATCTAGGTACAGAACTTATAGATATAGTAACAAATATTGTACTCAATAATAAAATTTCCGTAGCATGTGTGTCTAATGATCATTTTTGAGCACCACTTGCCAATTTTTTTTTGTTTGCTCTTTTTTATTTTTTATTTTTGAAACCCATTTAAGTGGGTGACTTCAAACATTATAAGTCTTGGTACTGGACCTATAGAAATGGTAACAAATATTGAACTCATTACTGAAATTTTCATAAAATATCTGGTAATTTGATATGCATATGTCTAATGATCATTTTTGAGCGCCAATTTCTCTCTTTTGGTTTTTTAAAATTTTTATCTTTAAATCCTATTTAAGTGAACTCTATACGTTATACGTTTATAAATCTGGTACGATACCCATAGAATTGCTGACAAATATTGTACTT